TTTGAGGACTACGCCTGCGAGGATCTTGTTGTCAATATTCCTGCTGCCGAGGGGGCCTAGATCTGCCGCGCGACGGGCAACGTCGCGCGGGGGGTCTTCGGAGCCCTCGCCTTCGGGCGCAAATATTCCGAGCACGTCGTTCTATCCGAGGGGCATATGATTCCCGTCAAGTTGACACCGGAGCACATCGTAGAGGACCTGGGGGCCCATTGGGGAGGCTTGCCATGCGGCGCAAGGACGGGCGTCGAGACCTGGGGCAGAGTGGGTTTGTCTGTCAACGCACACTTATACGTCGTGTAGACGCGGAGGAGGGATGTCGGCGAGGAGGGCGTTGTCCGCGAGGCGGGGGGGGGGGTAGGCATTGGCAGCGGTGGAGCCAATGCGCTCCTCATCAAATTCCTGGCCCCAGCGCTAGATCATCTTCTGAGAGATTGACGAGGGACAGGCGGGGGTGTGTCCGCCCGCGCGAAGCCCCGCGGGTCTGACTGAGCCGACGAACGGTTCAACGCATGCCGCGATCAGCCAGCAAGCGCCGGCGTTTACGAGCTCGAGCCTGCGCCCGCAGATCAGGAGACTACAAACCACCCCTTGACCCCCGAAGTTCAGCCCCCGCGCCCTCAAACTGGAACTTGGGGGCGCCGAGAGCGTCTGCAGAAGAAGCGGGGTGCGCCAGGGGCACCGCCTGCGCGTCTGGCTCGACGCGCAGGTGCTCTCGTGCAAGGCCACATCGGAGCAGGCGGCAAGCAAGCGCCGGATCTTGTCGCCGCGCAGCCCTGGCCACAGCGGAGGAGAAGGAGGCGACTCGTCGTCGTCGTCGCACCGAGCGCCGAGCTCGTCGCCGTCGAAAGATCCAGAGACTCCTAAAATTCCACCTGGAACTTCTGAACGTCGGGACGTCGGAAGATGGTCTTCGGGATGGGTTGGGCAACAGAGGGCCGGGGGCGGCGGTGGCGGAGCGCGACCTGCAGCGGGGCGTGGTCAGAGATCCTTCGTTGCCCCAGCGCCTCGGGCAAGGCCCCGACGGACGCCGCGACGCGCGCGCGCGTCAGGGCCCAGCCTGGGACGCCGAGGCGAACCCTATCAATTTTCGACGCTGGCTGGCACGTGCCGTTCTAGTGCGCGCCCTCTCCGCAGGGCCTCCTAGAGCCTCTGGAGAAAGGGCTGCCACGGGGAGCGGCGCTGACGACGCCATTCTCCCGAGGGGCCTCCAGGGAGTCAGGTGGAACTGAGGGCCGCGATGGGGGCTCCGCAGCCAAGTTGAAGTCACCCGCTAGAGCCGCGAAGCATCTGTCAGGAAGCCTCTGGGCGATAGTGCGACGATGCAACATCGAGTCTTTCACAGAGCCGACTTGTGATAGAGAAAACCAAATATTGAATATTTTGAAGTGCTGTATGTAATATATTATCTGCGGAGCGCAGGGTCGCGCCTACGCCAAGCTCGGCGATTGAGTAGTGCCCGCCCAGGGACGAGAACCTCAGAAGAGACTGAAGTACCAGTGCCCGCCCATGAAGCACACCGTGAGAAGAACGCGACGACGCAGCCGCGGCGGCTGTGAGGGCCATCGAACGTGGCCCGAAACTCAAAACCCGAATTCGACATGTGCGCCATCGACATGTGCGTGAAACCGGTAACGTCGCCCACGGATAAGCGGGTTCCCTGCGCGGCGACGACGTTAAAGCCTTGTGGAAGGTTAGCGAGGTACTTCAGCTTTCTGGCTCGGGCGCCAGGACGAAAAGGGCACAGCGCGCGGGCGCTCCACGAGACGAGCCCTACACCGGTGGCCGACTTCGCGGTCGGCAGCTTGAGGAGGCGGAAGAGCTGGCTCAAGAGACCTCTCCTCAGACCCGATGCCCTGGGAAAAGATCTGCTCGATGCTCGTCGCGATCGTGGCCTTCGAAAGGCCCAGCTGGTCGAGCGCCCCATGGTCGCACTCGACGGGGCGGGCCTCGTTCTGGCGCGGGGTGGCCTTGAGGAAGGCGCGCCGCTGGCACGAGATCTTGCCTGTGTTCCTGTCAGCGAAGAAAATATTGTCAGGGGGCTTCTCTGGGGGGCGCTTGATTTTCTTGAGGTCAAGTTCTCTGCGGAGATGTGCCAAGGTTCAGCCCCCTGAAACGTGCAATCCCAAGTTCTGGCGTTGGGCTGAGAATGCCTAGAAGCGTCTGAACGAGCCGTCGCGAGCTTGACATCGCTGGGGGCCTGCGAGACCGTCCTGGCGGCCCACCCAGGGGCTCATTTGACCTTGACCGTGAAACGGGTGCCAGCGGTCTCACCTTCGACCTTCCAGTTGTCTGGTTCGAAGTTGGAAGCGGCCAGCCACTCAGCGAGACCTTCGCACACAGCATCGCGGCTGGCAACGGCGGCGGAACGGACAACCACGATGGTGGGTTCCGTCTTGCGGTGGAAGGCGGCCGAGGGAGCCACCGCAGGGGGCTCGTCTGAGCGAGCCAGCTCGAGAAGATCTTGTAGCTGCCGGGTCTCTTGTGACATTGTATGCATTCTCGCTTCCTGCGCGTCGAGACGGCACTCAGTGGCACCGATGCGTGAGCCGACCTGCTGCTCCAAGTTCGTGCAATGCTTGATGATGGTGTCCGAGCGAGAAGCAAGGTCTTCCTGCATGTTGAGGATGTCGGCCATGACGTCCCTCTTGGTGTAGTCAACATATGCCCTGGGCACATCCAAGTTTGAGGGATCTGGGGACGCACCGAAATCATCACCTGCCACCCGTACAGCCACAGCAGCTGGGCCAGGCTGGGTAGCATGCGCAGGATGCTGAACAGGATGGGAGGCCGCCGACGACGACGAGGAACCCTTGCCGTTGGAGAGCTTGCCATCGACCTTCTGGAACTTGGGCGGCAGGGATGGAGAAATCCTGTGCGGGCGATAAGAAGCCCCCTGGGATAATAAAGTTCTCGCGGTTCCCGCGGGGATGGGTAAAGGAGTTTCCCAGGGAAGGTAAAGTATGATGACGATGGTGAAGCTGACGACGATGATGGAGGAGGAGAAGGTTAAACCAGGCGCACGACACAAAGCTGACTCGAGAGATCCCAAGGCTCGTGGCCACTTGCCCGCAGAGGCGCACGACGCAAGGCTCGTAGTATTACAATCGAATCGCGTAGCAAGGATGGGCGTGCAAAGGTGCACGGCCACTTCGGCTCAGAGATGGGCCGAAGTGGCAACAATGCAAGGGTATAGCAAGATTGATCATCCCTACCACGCGGGTTGATTTGAATATTACTGATAGGAGCGCGGGCAGGAAGATAATAACAGTAATGGTGGGAGACGGCAAAAGGAAGAGGATGGCCCCAGGATCGATACTCGGTGCCTTTATGGGCCCTGTGATTTCTTATGTGTGGAGCAATTTCGTTTTAATCGTTTTCAGGATCGCATTGACTGGGGTACATGGTGGGACCCCGCGGGGGATAAACAAAAACCCGGAGATAAACAAGTTCGGCCCCTGGGGGGAGTGCGGAAGGAAGAGAAAGAGAAACGGAAGAGAAGCAAAAGGAAAGGAAGAAGGAAGAGAAGACAAAGCATGGTTGAAGCTGTTGCTAGTCAGCACGAATCGATCACAACTTCGATCCGAAACCTAAGAGAACAGAACCGAAGAACAATAAAAAGAGGAAGAACAAAAAGGGGGAACGTGGGCAAACTGAACTGGTGAGAATCCCACAACCCTGCCAAATGCTCGTGATTGCGGAACCTGCTGTGGTGAGACCACCATGGCCATGCTCAGCGTTTTTGATGCTGTTGCTAGTCAACATGATATGATAGCAATTTCGATCCCCGCAACTTTCCTGTGGACTATAGGACTCGGCCTCCGCGCCGTCCTCCACAGTTAAGTCTTATTGGCCGGAGTTTCCCCCCCCACGCCAAAAAAACGGGGGAAACGAGGGTACTTTATTATCGCCCGCACGCGGTTAGCTGTACCCACAGAAGCAGAGCGGCCACCGCGATCCACCAAAGCCATGGGGCCAAGGGGCAGGCCACGAAGGACATCGTACTAGGGGAGAGAAGGGATGGCGAAGCGCCAAACGAAATGGAGACGTGTCCGCCTGCGCCTGACGCACAGGATCGTTTGAATAGAGAGCTGCGTTTCAGATGGGACCTGTTCCCACTTGAGCCAAAGCGGCAACGGGCTGCTGGTCCTCCTCCTGCTCCCCCTCGTCCTCCGGGAGGGAGCAGGCTCAGGTGGAGAACGAGGAGGCGGCGGAGGATCGATGGGGGGACGATGAGGAGGAGATACAGGAGGAGGAGGAGGAGGAGGAGGAGAAGGCGGAGGCGGAGGAGGAGAACGCGGAGGTGGAGGAGGAGGCGGAGGCGGATCGAGGAGAGTGGCATGGAGGAGGGTCGAGGAAGCGGACATGGAGGAGGCGGAGGGATCGAGGCCGACGCGGAGGAAAAGAAGGACGCGGAGAACGGGAAGGAGGATCGAGGTCGGTTGGTCGGATCGGGTATCGAGGCGGTCCTCGTGCCGTGTTGGGGGGCCTGGCTCACACCCCACGAGCCAGGGGCAACGTAACCCTCATCCTGCACACCAGCCCCTCGGTGCGAAGAGGGGTGCCCAGCCCTGAACCCGAGCTTGCCATGGGGCACGGGGCCCGCCCGGCACATACCAGCAGGGGCGGCGGCGGAAAGGCGCAAGCCTCTGAAGCGAAGCGAAGACTGACAGCGAGAGGGAGAGGTAACAAGGGATCTGTCGACCCCTATCCCAGGCTTCGTGGGGTTTCCAGATGGACCAGAAATTTGGGGCCCAACCCTGGGATTTTCGATGGGGGGGGGTCCATGCTCGATAGGGGTGCGTCGAATAGCCCCCGTTGCGGTGTGTCCCAGGGTTCTCCTATGTTTCTCAGCGGCCACACTTTTCGGGCGAAGCTCGGGGACTTCGGGGAGAAACATCGCCCGCGAAGAGAGAGAGAGAGCAGCAGCGGAGGAGGAGGAGGATCGAGGAGGTCATGGAGGAGAGGGGCCCCCTCCTCCGGCGGCGGAGCGCCCGCCGCGCCTCCCCCTGCAGCCGGTGCTCCAGGATGAAGATGCCTATGTCGCAGGTGTTCAGGGGCTTCTTCCGCTCCTCGTCCCTGGACGGAGGAGGGTGAACACGCCAGGAGGCACCGACACACTGCCCCCAAAGGAACCCAAAGGGCTTCCAGACAGTCCCAGGAAGCCCCGCGACGGCCCAGCAGGGCCCCAAAGATGGTCCGAAGAGAGCCCCATCACGGCCCAAGGCGGCTCTCAGACGCCCCCCGAAGCACTTCAAATCACGTTGAGAGAGACAGTGCTTCGCAGCAAAGTGGGCCGAGGGAGCCCAAGGAGCCCCAAAAAGGCCTCCAGGAGGCTTCCGGAGGCCCCAGAGAGGCCCAGAAGTAGCTTTCGCGAGGCCCCTAAGAAGCCCGCAACAAAAACATGATAATGACGGGGATGGGTACGCAGGGTAGGGCGAAAACCAGGAAGAGGAAAGACGAGGGAAGGACAAAGAAAAGCAGTATTCGAACGGCGCTGGCAAAAACGGAGTCACTTTTTGATACGTGCTTACTTACCTCTCTTTCTCTCTCATTCCGCCTGCATGCCAAACTTGAAGGGCCAAGGTGCATAGCGCGAAGCGCATGCTCAGTCTGGCGTGCGTGTGTGTGTGTATACACAGAGAGCGAGTGAGAGCGAGAGAGAGAGGTATAGACAGAAGGAATCGAACATATGCTGCTTATGGAAAACCGCCCGGAGGATTTCCTGGAGGCCTCCAGAGATACAAAAAAGACACACCGACCAGAGAAACACCGCAATCCTCGACCCTCCTCGTCGTCGTCCTCGTCGCCCCACTGGTCCCGTGGGGGCGGATTCTCCTCCTCCTCCTCCTCCTTCTCCTCCTCCTCCTCCCCCTCCTCCTCCTCCTCCTCCTCCTCCTCCTCCTCCTCCTCCTCCTCCTCCTCCTCCTCCCCCTCCTCGACGCGCACCGATTCACCTTGCTGCGTCGCGCGTCCTCCTCCTCCTCCTCCTCCTCCTCCTCCGCCGCCTCCTCCTCCTCCTCCTCTTCGTCCTCCTCCTCCTCCTGAAGAGCCCGAAATCGGCAGGAGGACGGGATGAGAGAAGGACGAGGAGGAGGCAGGAGGAGGACGAGGATGGAGAGGAAAAGAGGACGAGAGGTACGCGTGGGAGCAGCAGTACCCTATGACCCCGTAGTCGTCTTCGATCCGCCGCCCCCTGTGTGCTTGCCACAGTGGTGCACGGCGTGCTAGACCCTTTCGGTTTTGGTGTTGGTTCTTTTCCAAAAGAAATCCCCCTGGGACTTCGGCCCGTCCCGCCGGCCACACGGAAGGGCGCGCAAAGATGCACAACAGGTAGTTGCAAAGAGTTTTTCGGCTCCAGACGGCTTCAAGATGGCCTCCAAGATGGCCAAGATGGCCCAAGCTGGCCTCCAAATTCGCCCAAGATGGTCCAAGAAGGCCTCGAAGACGGCCCCAGGGTCCAGGATGCCTCCAAGTTCGCACAAAAAACACCTAAAACGGCCCACGACATTCCCAGAGACCTCCAAGAGGCCTCCAATACGGCCCAAGAGGCCTCGAAGAAAAGGCCTCGAAGAGGTCCTCCAGGGTCCGCAAGGACGGCACGAAGAGGTCAAAATCTTTGTTTTTTTTGGGTTTCTGAAGATTGTGGCTTTTGCTTCTTTTCGGCCTTCCGACGGCCCAAGACTGCCCAAGAGGCCGTCAAAATCGCCCCAAGAGTGCGCAAGAAACCTCCTGGACGGCCCCAGGACGGCCCAAGAGGCCCCCAAGACGGTCCCAAGAAGGCCCCAAGAGGGCCCAAGAGGCTCCCAAGAAGTACCAGATGGCCTCCAAGACTGCCCAGATGGCATTCAAGATGCCTCCAAGGCTGCCAAGATGGCCTCCGAGACGGCCAAGATGGCCCCAAGATGCACCCAAGACGGCCCAAGATGGCCCCAAGATGGCCTAAGACTACCCAAAAGGCCCGCAAGGCGCCTCCAAGACGGCCCAAGAGCCCTCCAAGACGTCCTCCAGGAAGGCCCGACAGGGATGAAATGATTCTTTATTTCTGTGTTTGAAGGGTTTGGGCGTTTGCCGCTTTTCAGCTCTCCGACGGCACAAGACGGCCCGAGCGGCCCACAACCTCGACCCAAGAGCGCCCAAGAGGCCTCCAACATGCCCCCATGACAGCCCAAGGGGCCCCCAATGCCCTAAGAGGCCACAGGACGGCCCAAGGGGCCCGCAAGGCGCCCAAGGTAGCCTCCAAGACGGCCAAGATAACCTCCATGATGCCTCCAAGACTGCCAAGATGGCCGTCAAGACGGCTAAGATAGCCTGAGGATGCACCCAAGACGGCCTAAGATGGCCTCAAGATGGCCTAATACGGCTCTATAGGCCCGCAAGAGGCCTCCAATACGACCCAAGAGCCCCCCAAGACGTCCTTCAGGAAGGTCCGACAGGGCCAAAATCATTGAATTGCCGTATGCGTGTCAAGGATTGTGGCGTTTGCTTCTTTTCAGCTCCCCGAAGGCACAAGACGACCCAAGCGGCCCCCAACATCGACCCAAGAGCGCCCAAGATGCCTCCAAGATGGCCCCATGACAGCCCAAGAGGCCCCCAAGAGGGCCACAAGAAGGCCCCAGGACGGCCCAAGAGGCCCCCAAGACGCCCATGATGGCCTCCAAGATGGCCCTGAAGCGCCCCGAGAGGCTTCAAGTCCGTTCAGAGAGGCCGCCAAGACGGCTTCCGACGGCGTCAGACGGGCCAGGGACGCCCGAAGACTGCCAAGGAGGCACCCAAAAAGCCCCCCAAAGACCCCAAGAGGCCAATGAAAGCCCCCAGGAGGCCTCCAGGAGGGCCCCAACAAGAAAAGGCCCCCAAGACGCCCAAGATGGCATCCAAGACGGACAGGATAGCCCCCAGGATGCCTCCAAGACGGCCAAGGAGACCTCCAAGACAGCGGAGATGGCCCCCAAATGCACCCAAGACGGCCCCAAATGGCCTGAAGATAACCTTGGACTGCCCATAAGGCCCGCCAGAGGCCTCCAACACTGCCCAATAGCCATCCACAGCGTCCTCTAGGAAACCCGAAAGCTCGGAAACCACCTGGTCCGATGGCTCACCCGGCCCCGTGTTCCCCGAAGGCTTTCCAAACCGACTCGGGGAACACATGGCCCGATAGCTTGGCAGGGCTCTGGCCTCAACGTTCGGCCACATAGGCGCTTCCGAAAGGGCAGGGGGCGGCGGTGACTCGCCGTAGGCGTCTTCGATCCGCCGCCCCCTGCTGATTCATTACAGTGGTGCCTGGCGTGCTGGGTCCTTTCGGTCTTGGTTCCTTATTTCACGAGAGTGCGAGGTAGGTCTTGTAGGCCTCGCTGCATGGAAACCGCTTGCAGGCATAATGGACGTTACACCACGCGTGTACGTCTCGCATCCACACGCGAGGGGCCTCTTGCCTGATCGCCCTCGCGCTCCCTCGCCACGCGGCCGATGATGACCCCAAGTGCGATGGCCACGAACCCGTAGACAACGAGGCTCAATTAGTGGAGGCGGGAGGAGAAGACGTCGGATGCAGCGTATATGGTGGAAGAGCTGGTCGTGGATCCACGAGCAACTGGAAGTTGCGGGACGTTCGCGGTCTGGTCGATGTGGTAGTCGGTCGCGTCCCCACGCTCGTGCGTAGTAGGTGGTAGGGTCGATGATGCAGTTGGGGAAGATGTGGTAGAAGCCACGGTCACTGGGGTAGCGGTGGGAAGTAGACTTCGTCGACCTGACTGGCGTCCTGCCCAGGTAGAAGTCGCAGAAAGGAAAGCCGCTCTCACGCAGTCGAGTCTCCTCGCGCGCGTATGACCTGGGTTGTTCTAGGTGGGGTCGCTGTTGGAACGTTGTGCCTGGCGTGGGTCCAGTAGACGTCCAGGCGGGCGTCTACCGTGCCCTTCTCTTCGATGTGTAGATGATGGCGTGTACGTGGCTATTGGCGTACATTTGGTGGAACGTCATCACTCTGAGGGTGGACGCGATCAGAGCTGCCGCGGGTGCGGCAGCTCTGCTACCAACTTGGAAGAAATGGTCGCCATCTCCCGGCACGATTGTCAGGGATTGCGGAATACGATGGCATGGATGGCGGTGGGGCAGGCAGCGCCGCAAATGGTACGCCGCAGGCGACGCCGGCAAATGGGGCGGCGTCGCCCTGGGCCAAGGCAGCGGCGGGCGAGAGACGCAACATGTACATGCCCTCTTTTGAGCAGTCCCTCAAAATCCAAATGCCCCAACCTGTGAAACAAACATATGTGTTTCTCTCGCATGTCCCCACCACAAGATGTCCAACATGTATTATGGTGTGTCGTCCCTTCGCTTCCGACTGACCTCCGGAGCCTCCAAGAGAGCCCAATGATGATTCGGAATAACTCCAAAACTGCCCCAAACACGCCACGCGAGCGGCCCAAGGGGGCTCAAAGGAACTAGTTGCCTGGCTCCAGAGGGGCAGTGCTAATTCGCGCCGCCCCGTGTTTGATTGATGTCCCCAAAGATGGCCATCGAGCCTCTGCGAGGGGCCCAAGAAAGCCCCAAAGGCATCCAAAATGGCCCGAATTGCGCACAAATCAAATCTGGCCCCAAAAAGTCTGCAAGAGGCTCACAGACCGAAAGATCCGCGACGGTCCGCCTGATCGACTCTTGGGTCTGCTCAGGCTGATCCCGAGCCTCGGTTTGACGGCCGCCCCCTCTGTTCCACTGCGTGCTCCTGCGTTCCATGATCAAGGTAACTGGCCTCGGGGTCGTTTCGGAATGGGTTGGTCGCGATACTTTTTTTTGGTCAGCGGCCACGAAAACAACGGTCATGTGGCGATGGCAACGTCCGGGCCACGGGCGAGGCTAATTTGCAGGTTGGCCGCGATACGTTCTTGGTCGGCGGCTCCGAGGCGGCGGACAGGGAGCGGAAGGCGTCGTCTGGGCCAGCAGGCGAGGCGAATTAGCTACAACAGGCAACGCACCTGCAGTAATAATTCGCAAAGAAAGCGAGGTGTGCACACGCATTAAGCAAAATGCTCCACATTAAGGCGAACGCACCTAGGCGCCAGCCACACCGAGTTGAAGCAGCCGCAGTGCTACGCAGCGGAAGAGTCGCCCTGTCGGCCCCAGTCCGCACAGCCAACCTAGCCGATCAGACAGGTAGGTCGGCCGCGATACGCGAAGCGCCAGAGTCACTGTGAGCCCCCGGCGTGCGAATGGATCGAGAGCCGAACGGCCTTGTTCAGAAAGCTTGGAGCGTTGGGAGGAGAACGGCAGGAGAGGCTGGTAATCTGATAGTAAGGATCGGGCGACGAAATCTATAAATGTCCACTGCTCCCTGGCTGGGCCCATCCTGAACCCAGCAGCGGTGTATACGCCACAACCTCCTGGCTTGGCCAGGAGGACGTATACACAGCTCCTGGGTTCAGGATGGGCCTGACCAGGGAGCAGTGGACATGTATAGATTTCGTCGCCAGAGAAGGGAAGGGGGGGGTTCGGGGGCTCGCCTGCGAAGACGGCGTAAGGCGGCCCGAGATGGCCCCAATACGCCTCAAGATGGCCTCCAGACGGCCCAAACGACCCCAATGCAACTAAACATCAAGAAGCACAAGCCACTGATTGTCCTGAGAGGTGTTGATACATTTGGCATTGTCGCCTCTCTGGCTTCTGACATCCGGAGACGACCCAAGAGGCCTCCAAGATTGCCCCGGGACCAAGAGACTCGCATCGCAAGAAGTCGCCAAGACGGACGAAGAGCCCCTAGATGCCCCAAGATGGCCCAAGAGGGCTTAAAGAGGCCCCCTGACCCGCACCAAGAAATCCCAAATCCAGCCCTGCAGCGCCCCAAGAGGCTCCAGGATGGCCTGAAGACCACCCAAGACGGCCACAGTCGACGACGCAAACATCTCGATTGTCCCATGGGCTGCTGTACGACGTTGGCATTTGGCACTCTCGGTTTTCAAAATGCACACAAGGGCCCACCAGGCGCCCAAAAGTGCTCAAAGACGCCAACAAAAGATGCCGAAGAGGGCTCCAGGACGTCCCAAGAGAGCCCCAAGGTGCCCCCAGAGGGTTCCAACGAGGCCCCAGGGGGCCCCCAGACGGCCCCAGGGCACTCCAAAATGCTACATTCGCTGGACACTGTCCCAAGGGCGGTCAGGAAATTGTAAAAAATTGCCACGCAAGGGTTCGGGCTGGGGTCATCCTCGCCGCGCGGACGCCCACGCGGTGCGCATGCTCTTTGACCTGCGGGATCGACACCGCCATTCGGCGGAAGGGGCCAACTGGCGGACAGCGGGCAGTGAAACCTGGGGGAGGAGGACAAGCAGCGGGAAGTGAAGATGCGGAGGAGAAGGAGGGGGCTGGAAAAAAGGCAAGGACGGGCAGAGAGCGCGGTGGCGGATGCGATCCCGGGGCCGCGTGGCCAAAGGCTTCCATTGTGCCTACTCGGCAACTGGCCACGGTCCACCGCCGCGCGGACATGGGATCGAGCCCAGTTGGCTGGCCAGAAGGGCAAAACACCCACAGACAGAAGCTTCAGGATATTATGAGGCAACTACTGGGGGGTTTTCTTCGGAAAGACTAAGGAGGATTAAGCCCCAGTTGGGAACTGTTACGCCGGAGTGGGCCTCGGACCAAGCAGGATTAAGCCGGATTAAGCGGCATTCAGCGGGATAAAGCCGGATTAAGCGGGATTGAGCTGGATTAAGCCGGATCTCGGACCAGGGCGAAAACATAATTTGACCTCCGAGGTTGCATCCGAAAGGATATGCCGGCGGGACAGGCGGCGCCTACCGTGCAAGACCGAGAGCGGGGTAGGACGAGAACAGCCGTCCACTGCCTCTCTCGCAGGGCACGTGGCCCTTTTACGCGGCGGCCAGAGGGCTCTGGACGTCGACAGGACTCCGAAGGGAACAGAGGGGGTGGCGCGACTGCCGCGGCGTCACCGGGTGTCTGGCTCTCTGGCCCTCCTCCTTCCCCTCCTCCCCTCAACCTCGTTCTCCTCGTTCTATACATATATATACACTCCCCGTCGCTCGGACGTCTATTCCCTGTGTTTGTCTTCGGTTTCGTGCGTGTTTTTTTATCGCAAGATGATCCAGGATGCTCCTGAATGATCCCCGCCGAGAAAAAGTGCACACGTCCAAGCGATACCAAGAATACTAATCCTCGGCCTCCTTTCGCTGCGCCTCCAGCTGATAAGCCCGCCGTTGCCGGCGGGACAGGCGGCATCTGACGTGCAGATCGAGAGTGGATCATGACGAGAACAGCCGTCCGCGGCTTGTCTCGCAAGCTACTTGGTCCTATCTCACTGGCCACGAGGACTCATATCCATCGCAATCTGATTGCCATCGCGAAAGATAATGAAAGTGTAGCCAGAGCATCCGCGCGTACCTGAGATCTTGAAAGGCGCACTGAAAAGGGTCCATGTGTCTTGGAATACATGCACGCTAGGTCGCTACCAATCATGAGGCGATGCCTGGCGATGACGACGCTACGTACCACCGCCACCGCCACCGCCACCGCCACCGCCACCGCCGCCCCCGCCTCCGCCTCCGCCTCCGCCTCCGCCTCCGCCTCCGCCTCCGCCTCCGCCTCCGCCTCAGCCGCCGCCTCCGCCACCCCTGCTTCTGGGTCCCCTTGCGATCGGTGTGCTTCGCATTGGACCTGCGTCCAGAACCGTCAGGGCAAAGCCCGCCATGACAGCACCCGACGCGAACGCGAACGTTGGGATCTCTAAGTCAGGGTGGTACCGCGAAGAGCAGCTCATAAATTTAATCACGCTCAAGTAGATGAAGCTGCCACCAACACAGAGGTATATCCCAACGTAGACAAGAGGGTCGAAAGTGACATCCATAACGTAGTACGCGAGACAAGCTCCCAAACCCTCGCTCAATCCAATCATGAGGCTTCCCAGAATATCCTTGCAACGCTGGCATCGTTTCTGGCTCCTTGATCCCTCCATGGCCTCCATGGCGTCGACGATGAGCAGGAGCCCCTCTGGCACGTTTCGCAAGAGCATAAGGCACGCCAAGTCAGTAGCAGTCTTCAAATCCACCTTGGAAATGTGGAACATGAGAATGCCTGGGAAGATGTGTGCCAAGAAAGCAGCAAAATGCTCACACAAGACTCGAAGCAATGGTATCAACCTCTTGTCTATTATACCTTCCATAGTCTTGAACTGCTCGATCCTGGCATGCCACGACTGCTGCGTCGAAGGTTGGTTCGTCTCTGCCTCTGCCCTCTTCGAGTTGACACTACCGCTGAGTGCCAGATTGAGCAACCGATTGAGCCCGGGTCCAGCATGAGCGCCATAGTAAGCATGGGCCTCCTTCCGCACTGACAAAATCGAGGGTTTCATGCCGGCTATGTCCACCGGACGCCGCTGCTGCTGGAGCACCTCCCAGGGCTCCTCCAAGAGCTCTACCAGCATCCCTGGGGTGGGCGCATCGGAGCATATCGTGCAGAGCTCGTCCCAGAGTGGTTCGGCGAATTTTTCTTGAGGGGGACCGACGGCATAGGTTACGAAACTGCAGAACTCCGCATGGTTGAAGCTGCTCATATCCACGATCTCGCGCCCAGCGCTCTTGAGAAGAATCTCCACGAGAGGTGCATCTCCGTCGGAGAAGTGAAACAAGCTGTCAGCGATAAACTGTATGGACTCTCTATTGTGCTTGCTGAGATCGGCCATCTGCGGCGAGAAGACTCCCGACGCATCATCTCTGTGCAACTGTCTGGCCTTTTCTGCGCGTTTGCTTCTAACCTCCGTAATGGTAATGTTCTTCTGATCGCAGCTGAAATGCATCCAACTGCTAATAAACTCGTCGGCCGCCATTCTCCCCTTGCTGTTTCGTAGTGAAGGGTCGACCTCCAACCTCCTCTGTGTTATTGCACGCTTGAACCGCTCGAGAATGACCGCTGGTAGGTCACTCGTGAATTTCGCGAGTTGGATGACTATCATACTGACGAGGATCACGACTGAACAGAACCCATAGCTCCAACGCTGATCATATCCCTCCGCGATGACCCCGCGGAGCGCGGACGGGAATATATCAAGCATCGTCACAGAGATCAGCGCCCCAGAGAAGACCGCCAGAACACGTGAAAGAGGCTTGCTGATACGCCCCGGTCTCCACGCGGCCCCTATCAGCCCGCCCAGCGGCACAAATATTCCCGAGACCAGCGCGAGCACGATGCCAGGCGACCACGAAGGCACCTCCCCCCTCAACAGCCTCTCAAGTAAAATCATTGGGACGCCCTGCAATGAGCAAGATCGGGGTGGCAAGCGCGAGTGCCCTCGCCGCCGCGAACTACACGGACCCACACCCGTCCACTCCTCCGGCGTCGCATCTGTGTCGTGACGCGGTCCCCCAAGAATCTCGACCCAGTTTTGTGCTTGGTCCGTATCCTGAATCGTTTCGACTCTTCTGTCAGGAGGCAAATGCTGGGAGGTTTTCGCCAGATCGATTAAGGAGGATTAAGCCCCATTTGGGAGCTGTTACGCCGGAGTGGGCCTCGGACTAAGCAGGACTAAGCCGGATGAAGCGGGATTGAGCGGGATGAAACCGGATCAAGCGAGATTGAGCCGGATTAAGCTGGACTTAGCCGGACTTCCGACCAGGGCAAAATCAGAATTTGACCTCCCAGGAGTTGCATCCGAACTCCTGGGGCTAGGAAGCAGCCCCAAGAGGCCGCATACGGCAAGAAAGGCTGGCCGCCACGAAATGACGCAACGCCTGGATGCGGGGGTCTGTGGCCCGTGCTTGCGCGCCGGCTCCACCGCGTGTGGACATGCGGAAATGTCCTGGACCGGAATGGCGACAAGAAGTTCGGGTGGCCTGGCTGGAGACCGTTCTTTTTTTGTTTCGAATCGGCGATAACCGGGCTTCTCCTTGGAGGGGAGGGGGGGGGGGCGGCCGATAACCTAACCCTTGCGCTGTGGGCAGCCCTGCATATGCCCGCGCCCCCCCTCCCGCGGACCTGCACAATCGGCAAGGTTAGGTTATGCTGGGGGGGGAAGGGGAGGGGGGCAAGCCCCATAACCCGGGTCATCGCCCGACCCTAAAAAAACAATCTCCTGCGGGGTCAGGAGATCTCATCGCAGTTTGGGCTAGACCACCGAAGAGGGGAGCCGAGGGCGTGAGAAGTTCGAGGCAGGAATCTTTACACGTCGTCCACCTTGGGAACCGATCGGCGGAATATATAGATACCTCATAGGACCACCATTCGGGTGATCAGGACGTGCAGGGGGGCGCAATCTTTGATTTGAATTCGCCCCACAAATCAACACATGAGCGGAAACAGGTGGAGGCATCACGGTTGATTTTCATGTACGTGTCGATCGGCACGTCGATAAGCCCAACATATATGAGAAGGGCATAGCGATATATAGGTAGACCGGTTAACTGCATTGATGATGTAAGTATCCTTCGCACGTATCGATACACTGCCTCTCCATGTTTTTTAAATATGTGTATGTTCTTATGTCACACTAAAAATGTCCACTTGAAAATATCTACATGTATACATATATCAGACCGTGTCACATACCTACCAGTATCATGTTCGATCGGTCTCAAAATAGGTCTGTCGATAGAAGTGTCAATCATACTGTAAAAATAATCGTTCATCTTTCAGGACAGCCATCGTGGCAAGAATCGGGGCAACAATCGGGACAACCATCGGTACAGCCCTCGGCACATCTGGTCTATATGTCAATTTCGGCCGATCGGCCTACATTCATCTATATCGTTGTAGATCTATCTGAGCGCATACAAAGAAACAGAAAGAGGCCTATCTAAACATGTGTATCAATATACACATATAGATCACTGTCTCTCCACGCATTTTTATTCATAACTGATCGACCGGAATCACTATGCAATTCCTCGCAAGGCGCATATTCCCCATCCGTCCTGTGTTCAACTGGGTCCTCGTTTTGAATCCGCAGCCCCCCACCTCTCCTCCCATCCCGCCTGCCCCCCTCCTGCCCCTGCCCTCCACATGCCCATGTCGGCACACGCACACCACACGTTCCGTGGCACCATGGGGAGCCCCAGCGAAGGTCGAAATGCCAAAGGCCGCATGTCGTCGCCGCCTCATTTGGGCACACCCCTCACACGCTTCGTGGCCCAATAGAGAGCTCCAGTTAAGGCCAACATGCCAACGGCCGCATGGCGGGGCCGCCTCATTTCGGCACACCCCTCACAGGCTTCGTGGCCCCACACGGATCCCCAACTGAGGCCGAAATGCCAAAGGCCGCATGGCGTCGCCGCCTCATGTCCGTGGCCCCATACGGAGTTCCGACTCAGGCCCAAATGCCGAATCCTGCGTGGCGTTGATGCCTCATTTCGGCACACCCTTCACTCGCTTCGCGGCCCCATGGGAAGTTCCACGGCCCCGTTGAAAAGGTCCGCATGGCGTACCCGTCCCCAATGCGGCACACCCTTCACGCGTTTCGTATCCCAACAGAGAGAAAGAGAGAGAGAGAGAGAGAGAGAGAGAGAGAAAGAGTGAGAGAGAGGGAGCGAGAGAGAGAGAGAGAGAAAGAGAGAGACAGAGACAGAGACAGAGACACTGAGAGAGAGAAGGAGAGAGAAGGATAGAAAGAGAGAGAGAGAGAAAGAGGAAGAAAAAAAGGGACCCCACCGAAGTTCCCAGCGGCGGTATTCGCATGGCGTCGCAGGAGTCCGTTAGTTTGTGTTCCTCCTCATTCTCGCTTGCCTCCCGGTACCCGCAGCTTCAAATGGTTGAGCCCTTCGCAACGACAAGTAGTGTTTATTGTTTTGCCCCGCAGGACAGGACGCATTTGTCTTTGGCTTGCCCGCAGGGCGCATTGTTTGTATTATGGCCTGGGGGAGCGCATGATTACTTTGGCCTCGCGGAGCGCTTTCTTTGGCAGTACTACCTCGCAGAACCATCGCGGCAACCATGGCGAAACCATCGGGACATCTATCTGGAAAACCATCGGGACAATCATCGGGATAATCATCGGGACAACCGTCGAAACGACCATCTGGACAACCATCGGAAAACTATTCGGGGAATTATTCGGGGCAGCCATCGGGATAACCATCGAGAGAACCATCGGGATAACCAACTGCAGGGACGCCCATCGAAACCACCATGCGAACAACCATCGGAACAACCATTGGGGCAAACATCAGGGCAACCTTTGAGACAAACATCGGGACAACCGCCAGGGCAACCTTCGAGACAACCATCGGGACAACCGTCGGGACAACCATGTGGACAACCACTGGGGTCACCGTCGAGACAACGATCGGGGCAGCCCGCAAACACCTGCTGGGCGGGGCGGCCCATTTTTTGGCATCATTCGGCCTCTTCTCGTGCAGGACCTCGCGTAGCCCCCCGCCTTGCCCGTGCGCGCGTCGCGCAGGACACGAACGGAAACCGAAATCGATGTCCCAATTGGGACACTCCGTTTCACGTCGACCTCACCCTGCAACCTCAGGTCATGGAATGAGGGGCCGAAAAGTATTGCACCGTCCCTGCGTGCGTAGCTGCATTGGGCGACCGCCGTGCGGACTGTTCTTCGTGTTGTCATTGCTCTTGCCGTTCGCCGTCCTCGTCTCCCGACCAACCGCGGCCCACCCGCGACCCGCGACCCACTCCGCGGCCAAGCCGGCGACTCTGACGACCTTCCAGCGACGGACTGATTTGAAGGGGCCGTTGGAAGAAAATTATCGGCCCCCGCTCGCGCGACCGGCCGAAGCCGCGACAGACGAGGCGACGCTGACAACTCACTAACGGCCCACCCACATCATTTTGAAAAAATGCGGCGGGTAGGGTTTCTTTCCGTTCTGTTCCGTCTCGCAAAAAGTCAACAACTCCCACCCACTCATCCTCATCCTCAACTGCGGGTAACTACGTGCATCTGTACCAAAGAAAAACGCCCGCGATTAGGTTCTAGCACGTTTCATGTTTGTCATCGTTGCCCAACAAACATGGACGCGTCTATCCGTGCGCTCGTCTGTTCACGCACCGACCCAGTCACGCAGTGATCTATGTCATGCACCAGGATTGCCAGGGTCGGCCAACAAAACGTATGTGTAGGCGCATGGGTACACGCACAACGTGTACATGTGCAGACGTGAATGAAAGCAACTTGCTATACACATATGCACACGCGCCTGCGACTTTGCGTCCGTATCCATATATATATACACACATTCGTAATGGGCACGCCCCCATATTGGTGATGAGGCGACGATGGGGTCATGGTCACCTCCCTCCACTGAGTGATGGGCTCTCATCGCATGCAGCGACGACATGGGACAAAGGACGCCTGTCTGCAGAGCTACGTCGGCTAGGTTGGCGCGTGACCGATGGTTCGAAATGCCGGGCGTCTCTTTGTCTGTGCGAGGTGGCGTAGCTACAGCTGCCCTCTGTATATGTCTTGCCCTGGGGAACGCAGGCGTGCTTTGCAGGCTTGCTCGGCGACCCCCTTTCCGCGGGCGTGCACATTGTCCCGCCGCCATCAGCATCTCAGCTATTGCCCTTGCCGCCGTCGTGCCCTGCGGGCAACCTGTGTCGCCCTTCGGGCCTTGATGCCAAGCCCTCTTTACTGTAGACGCCGCGCGCTCTTCAGACAACGCGGTCCAGTTTGACGAGCAAGTCATTATGACGCACAGGGACTGAAATATCATTAGCTCGAGTTGCTCATAGCTCCGCAGCCGCGGGCCCAGACAGGTCCGAGCGGGAAGCGCAACTCGGGCGCTCGGACGCGTGGAAGCGCAAGGCCCCGCGCGCGCCGGCCTCAGCTTTGAGGGCCATCTCGCAGGAAGCAAAGCACAGCATGCCAGAGGCCAAGAACCGCAAAGCCATCCGCGAGGCGCGGGACCTCACCACGCGACGCAGCGGCAAGCGTGAAGCGCTCCTCGACAAAGTGCCCGCGCCTCGAGCGCACGGCTCGGCAAGCGCTTTGCGATGGTCAAGTCGCTCGCGTTCCTGAGCGTTGCGCGCGGCGTGGGCGCACGACTCGGGAAGGCCACGCAGCGCCTGGCCTGCGGAAGGCATCCGCGTTGCGACCCGCCGCGTGACCTCATCGTCTGTAGCGACGACGTCGTCCCTGGCAACCAGCTGTCAGGTTACAACCCTCGGAGGTGCTGGGTCGCCCACGTGTCTTTCGCCCAATGTGGGCCGATGCTGGTGGACGAAGACGCGAGAATATGCCCCGTCTTCGCGCGGTCGGAGGGAAAACGCACAGCGGCCGATCGTCCAGGTCTTCCGAGCGCAGCTCAAGATAATGTCCAGGCCCGAGGGTGGCAATTTCCATCGGAGCGGAGTC